TTTCACTCTGGAATCTTACTTCCTCCTTCACCTCCTTACCCACCAGGCTGATGTCTGGAGCCCTGAGCCTTACTGCTTCCGTTTCTAAAGAAAATACTTCAAAAATGGGGGTGGAGATCTGGGAGTCTACTGCTTCCTTTACAGCCTCCCTGTGTCAGCCCTAAACTCGCGTCCACCCACCTCCAGGCCCTCCGCCCTCATCCTCAGTGGTACCTGGTGGCTTCCAGGCGTTTGGATGTCAACCTGTCTGCTCTGCCACTTCCCGCGTGCCCACGCATTGTTGGCATCCCCCTTGTGCTGTGCTCCTCTCTTGCTCTTAATTTTAGGGGCTTCATACTTTCTCCACTCGACTGTCATTTAGATGGATACTGGCAGAGAAGAGAGAGGAACCATGCGTCCGATCTGTCACTGCCCACTGACTCCTCCTCAGAGGCAGCTCCTGGACCCGGGAAGATGCTGAAAAGAGAGGGAGGAGTGTGTGTGTGTGTATGTGTGTGCGGGACAGTGTAGGTGAGTATGAGTGTGTGTATGCATGAGTGTGTGTGTGTGAAGTCCTGTGACAGACTCTCCGGAGGCACTGCAGTCAGCAGCAGCATTGGACGTACTCTAGTCATTTTGGGAACAAAGCAGGGAGGGTACAAATAAGGAAACCGAAAGAATAAGTGGCCTCATTGTTGAAATGGGGATGTGGCCTCAGAGTGGTGATTTCAAAGGGATTACACTCAGCTCAAGGGATTAAATCCTGGAAATTTCATTTTTTAAAATTCTTATTAGCTTCCTCTGGGAGCTAGCAGGTATTTTTCACATTTTGCTCCAGATCGAATGGCTGTTTCATTCACTCCTTCCTTCACCAAGTCTGGGTTGAGCCCAGACGTGTCAGACATGGCGCTCAGTGCCCCGTCCTCGTCCTTGTGAAGCTTGTAGTCCAGGAGCGAGGAAGTGTGGGGGACAGGTAGAGTCAGTGACACATGTATGCAGTTTGCAGTTTGCATTTGAAGAGCAGCTCTAGTCCCAGAGGTGGGGGAGGAATCCCTGAGGACCCGAGGCTGGAGCTGAGCCCCAGTGTCACAATTCAGGGCTTTTTGAATCCTGACATAGCGTGACATCACTTGAAATATTTGGTTTGCTATCTGACCAAATGTCCTCATGTTTGGTTTGGACACACTGGCCCTGGCTTTGGGGGTGTCCTGGGTGAGCACTGAGGCGGAGCACAGTGCCCTCAGGGAAGGAGGCCTGCTTAAGCCTGGGGGTGTCGGGTTCAGGTCTGCTCTACCTAGAACGCTTCTTCCTCCACCCCTGGCCTGCCTCCCCCAGCCTCGCCCACCCCGGGACTCAGGGCTGAGCTCCCAAGGTCAGAGTTTAGACGTGCAGGGGCGCCCAGGCGGCTACCTGCCGCAGGCATCACCTCCTGTAGGTCCTTAGCTCATCTCACTTGGGATGGGAAGAATTTAGGTTAGTAAACAAACACCTTTATGTGCCTGGATTGGAAAGAAGCCTCTGGGTACATCTCATCGCTCAGGGGGAGGCAAGGCTGCGAAGGCCCAGCCTTGTTGGCCCAGAGCCCCTTCCCAGTGCCCCTGCTGAGCCAGGACCCGGCCTTCTCTCCTCGCTCTAGTGATGGAGCCATGGCCCCTGTGTGGACCCAGCCTGCGGGGCCCAGGCTGCAGGCACCTGTGCGTTCTGCCCAGACCACACACACACACATGCACACACGTGCACACAGAGACACACACGCGCTGTCTCTCTCTCTCATCCTCACCTCTCTCTTCACCCCAACCCCTTGGCTGGGGTTGGAGGACAGTACACATTTTCACTCCCTTGCAAATGAGTTGTGGCCGCAGGGCAAAGCTGGGTCTTTGGTCGTCCAAGTTTACTGCTTCTCAGAAGTGGGTCTGGTCGTCGGACTGAAAGTGCCAAGACAGAGAAGGGGCCTCTGAGGAGGGGGCGGGCCCGCGGCATGCTTCTTCCCTTTTCATTCCTGCTCCGGCCTCTTTATCGGCTCCCTCAGAAAAGGGAAAATTCTAGCAGTGGGGTGAGAGGAGATAATTATCATTTTCAAACCCTGGAAACAATAGCCTTGATTTTGGATACACACCACCTGTCGGTGGAATTTGCAATATCCAGGAAAGCCCTTTCTGAGCCCCCTGCCTTTTCCATGGAAGGTTGGGCACAGCTCTCTTTCTTCTAAGTCTCAGCCTATGGTTTCACAACCTTTGTTCTGCAGACTCTATATTTTTTAAAATTTATCAAAAATAATGCATTTGTTGTAGAGAAAACACACGGGTTCCCTTATTTCCTTGTTCTATAGCATCTTTTATTTTCACATTTTAATGATCCTGAAATTGGGATGCATCTTAAAATAGATTTGTACATTTTGATATGATACTATTTCTTTTTTTCCTAAAGGGTGTTCTTAAAAATCCGTGGGTGAGTCCCAAGTGACTCCATCCTAGAATTGAGGAAATATAATAAAAGTACAGTTTGGGAAACAAAAAGCTTTCAAAACATGGAGCCCACAGGAGAAAACAAAGCAAAAGGGGTGCTCAGTGCTGGAGAGCGGGGGGCGCTGCTCTACATCTCACGTTTTCCGAGGAACTTTATGTATGTCCGTTATGGGGGAGTGCTGACGAGGCCTAATCTCGTTCCATCGTGTTAATTCTGTGGGGGTGACATACTTGGAGCGAACAGCCCCTGAGATTATCCCCATTCCATTCCTCCTTCAGATTTCAGGTCAAACATGTTTGCATGTTTAGCATAAGGACCGTTCTTTTTCCTTTGTTGCATTTGCTAACTTAACAATTGTTCGGGGGTTTGAAACAAGCCACTTTTCTTTTGCCAGTTGGCCTTTGGGCTTTTCTGAGGCCCCTCAGGGACTGTGGCCATGGGGGCTCCTGGAATGTCCTGTCCTGGTGGAGCCGCCTCTGCTCCCCTGCCCTGGACATGTGACAGTCCGAGGCCGTGGGCCTGCTGTTTATGTGTACGTGGGGTGGGGCTGCATCGGGCAGGTTTTGTGTAAAGAACAGAGGCGCTTTCAGCAGGCTGTCAGAGTGGCCCGGAGCTTGTCCCATCAAGGGCCGCTTCCCAAAGTCTCAGCCTCAAGGACGACTGACCTGGGAGTCATCAGAGAGCCTGCTGTCAGAGATCATCCCAAAAGAGGGCACTGCTCCCAGTCTACCAGGATGGCCCCTTTGGGTCGAGGCAGGGCGTGGCAGGTTGACTCATACCCTGCTGTGATGCTGTGATGCTGTGGTGGTAGGCTGCTGAGGGAGGAAGCCTGACAGGCCATTACTGAGCGATCCAGTGAGAAACAGGAAAAACACTGTCCCGTCCAGCCTGCCCTCCTCTCCTCCTCTCCAGGCTCCTCATGAACTCTCCCCCACGAATACCCCAGCCCCATGGGCCGGTACCCAGGGCTGGCTTCATCCTTGAACAGTTCTCAGAGGAAAATTTCTATAGCTGTATACAAGAAAATGGCTTCTTAGTGAGACTATAAACTAGGAGTTGAGTCCTTTTTGATTTCCTGTCATGACAGTTTCCGACCTTGAATACCACTCACCGAGCTTGTACCAGGAAGGTACAGTGAGGAGCAAACTTCCCTGACATCCCACCCCCCAGGGCCCAGGAGTGTCCCGCTGATGGGAGCACCCAGGCTGGCCCCGGGAACCTGGAGCAGGAGGCCCTGCCAGGCTCACCGCAGGCGGTGCCCCTCTCAGGTGGCATTTCACACTCCATTGGAAATTTTTCTGCACCCTGTACCGTCCCCTGAGTAAGTGGTAATGAGCAACTTAATGTGCTGACTTATCCAATCCCTTCTTGGTCCATTACAACAAAAGTTGTTCTTTTCTCATTAGAACCATTTTTGTCAGGGTGTCTTTAATCAATGGCTTCCCCAGGGACGATATTTTTAGAAGTTGTGTTTTTCACACTCTCCCTTTGCCCCTCTTGGAAAATCTCTTCCCAGGGCCTCATGAAAGGGACTAATGAGATGCCATGAGAGTTCGGGCCGGTGTTAATTGGCACAGGTACGAAGAAGCTGCTCGCACACACCCTCAGCGGCATCCTGCCTTACCTGCGGTCCTTTTCTCCGTCTCTTTGGTGCAGGTTGCACAGACAGCAGATGGTGTGGATGCTGACCTCTGGAAAGACGGCTTATTTAAATCCAAGGTTACCAGATACCTGTGTTTCACGAGATCATTTTCCAAAGAAAATGTAAGTCTAGTAGTGGTTTTCCGATTGCTGAGTGAGCACAAGTCATTTACATTCATGTTTGAAATCTCCTCGTTGTTTGGTTTTGGTCTACTTTCATCACCATGTTAATTTATCTGTGGTTTTAGTGAATGGGGTCGGATCAGCAGCTTGTGCTGTGTTTCATTTATTAACAATATTATTAACCACATGCCCAAGTATACAGTGAATTCCATTAAAAGGTGTTCTCCAAAGGAAGCCAGGATATTTCTTTCACAGCTCTCCTCTGCCTGCCTTTCGTCCAAGTAACAAATCATAGGGTAGGAGGGATGTGCGTGTCTTTCAGAGAAGCTGGACTTAAAGCTGACCAACAGATGGGAGCATAGCTAGAAGGGTGCCTCGTGGTCACCCCTTTCCTCACACGTGATCTGGTTGACTCTCTCCCCAAGTTTCTGTGTAACACACGACATTTCATAGTTTCTGCAGGTAGGTATCCACCACACATGCAGGTTTCTTTTACTATATTGTTTTTCATACTTGGGCCCATTAATTAGGAAATTTTAAAGCTCTCTGCTAAGGCTTTTCCAATTAAGTGTTCTAATGGGTGGCTTAGAAAAAAGAGAAGTGGCAAAAAAAAAAAAAAGAGAGAAGTGGCTTCGTGAGCGTCCCCTCTGTGTGAGGACTGTCCTAGGTACTCTGCAGATACACACTTCCGTCCTCAGATAGTCTCTTGAAGTCCTAGCTCCTTTCCTGAGATCAGGAAGTTTTCAGGCTTGTCCCAGCTTACCTGTCTTCCCTAATCCCAAATAGGGAGCAGTCAGATTTTCATTTTTAGGGGTGACACTTTATTTTTGACCTAAATGCAAAAAAAAATTCAGTGAGAAATATTTATTTTATAAATTTTATTGTAACAGTAATATATGTTCATGATTTATAAATTAAAAAAAAAAACAGGTTCAGACTTCCCCATCCAGAAGCATGAAGGGGAAAGGTAACAGTCTTTCTCTCCATCATAAGGCCCACAGCCCAAGGGTCCTGTCACAGGTCCCCTTGTGTCCCTGCAGTGTTTTCTGGCTGAGGACAGTTGCACAGTTCCATGGCCTGCACTCTCTTCCTCCAGCCATTCTGTTGTTTGTTGATAAGTTTGTTAGGAAAGTGTTTTTTTAACATCTTCAGGATTAGGGGAGAAGTCATTGCTTTATTTATATACATTTTTTCATCAATAACGAGAGTAATAAACACTTGCGGTAAAGCACAGAGCGTCTGGCTGAGCAGGGCAAAGAGCTGGCAGCCAAGCCTGCAGTGCGTCTGAGCAGGTTCCTCGGGTCACGGTGCAGCTGAGGTCTGACGGCCAGGTTGCCTTTCCAGACGTCTGGCTCCTGACATTAGGGTAGTGCCCCCACCTCCCCACCTTTCCTCCTGTGCCCAGGGCCACACGCGGTGCACTCTCTGCCCCTTTGTCCCTGGAGTTCACCTAAACCCTTTTTGAAAACTATCTATATTCTTAGCTTTTGTCACCTCTGTTCTGCCCGCTGGCTTCCCCTTTCTGCAGGAGGTCAGCATGTTCTCTGCCGCTCAGGGCTGCTAGGACGAACTCCTAAGGATTGAGCAACTTGTATTCACACCCTCACTCTGCCCGGTGGTTTCATGTGCTCACTCCTGCTCTCGCTCAGCCTCGCCTCTCCCGCTGAGAGGAGGCTCTGGCCTTGGAGGCCCGCCACGGCCTCTTTAGCTGTTTTTGTTTTGTGTTTTTGTGGCATTTCCCCGAAGGCTGTGTTGGTATCTAGGCCAGAAGAGCCCCTGATCCCTGTGACTGGGGACAGTGACAAGTCTAAAAATGACAGAGAGACGTCACCAGGCTTGTTAATTTTGGGTATCATGGGTAAGTGGGTGACGGAAAATACATTGATTTAGTCAACATTGGAACATTCAGGGGTGTCCACTGAGTGCCTGCTTGGCGTGTCTCACTCTGTGAGGGCGGGGTGATAAGGGATGTGAGAAGAGGACAAGGGCGGTGGGTGGGACAAGCCTCACCTCTTTTTTGAGGCAGCACTGGAAGTATGTGCACTTCATCTTCAGGAAAAGAATGAATGGATGCTATGATGAGATCCAGGGGGACGTGATTCAGAGAGGGGTCAGTGGCCCACTTGCCGGCCCAGGAGCAGAGGAGGAAAGAGGCATATTTTCATCTGTTTCAGCCAGTCTGTCCGGCCCTGCTGTCAGAGCCAAGACTTTGCATGGCATAATTTTTCACAACTGAAACGGAGGGATGTGGGATCTCAAGACTGGACAGATTCTTTAATTAGGCGACGTGAGACTCCCAGTGTAGGAGTTTGGGGAGACCCCTTTGGAACCTAAATTCCTTTCCCCCAATAATGCTATTAATACAGAAACCTGGCTTTGGAGTGACATTGCTTCCTGGGGAAGGATCGAGATTAATTGCACTTTTCATGCCCTGTACTTTCTGCATTACCTGTAATAATAATGTACATAGATTAGGTAGGGAGGATATTAAACAGAAGGATTTATGAACATTTGAATATTAAGTTGGTTATCTGTGGCTACCTTAAATGCAAGGTTGTCAAAAATAATTACAGTATACTAGCAAATACCGGCTACCAGAGACAATATAAATACCCTGAGTCAGTGCACATTGGGCTTTTGGCATGAATCATTTGCTCAACAAGGATTGGGAATACGTTCTTCATATTTATGAGGAGGAAATGAAAGAGAGCACGAGATGGGGGAGGGGAGAGGAACAAGCAAAATTAATGGTGTCGCAGACCTACTGTATTAAACCCGGTGCAGTGGCAGCCCGTGCGCGGAGGGACCACGCCTGGACTGTGGGAAGCTTTGACAGTGCAGCCTCTCAGTTTGTGTGCACGAGAGACTTTTTTTTTGATGCCTTTTTTAAATGGCTGCACACCACTGATGTTCTGGTTTTATGATCAGGGACATTTGTAGAGTGTGGAGGGTGAGGTCGCTAAGTGGTTTGCTGTTGACTTCTGTAAAACCCAACTTGTCAAGTAGAAGACATTTGAGAAGGATATTGATGAATGCCCATCCATCTACAGGGCAGGAAAACATACCCAGTTGTTAATTTCTCAATGCAGAGAGCAGTGATGACATGGAAAAGCAACTGCCATGAAAAAAAAATTATGATAGATTAGAGCAGGCGACTCTGAAAGCAGCTGATGTTTGTGAGTTGGGTTAATGGTTCAGACCCTTCCCACGTGGTCAGAGATTTATTCCGCGTTAGTGAGGGTTCCACTTTCCACTTGCTGCACTGCTCCGCATTGTTTTCCTGAGACCCAGCTACCTGAAATATAATACGAAATCCTTGGCAAATACCCTCGTTGGAGAGAAACGGTTTTGTGACCACAGTGCCGTGAAAACACTAGTCATAGCTTACACTTGACACTTTGACCTTGATGGTTAAATTTCAGAAATTTATTTTGTGTCCTTTTGGTTTATAAATGCATTTATTAAATATACTTGTAATATTTTTACTGATATTATTTAGATTTGCTACCAAAGCAGATCCAATTTGATTTCTAACTCTGAGTGACCCAAAATTGAAAATGTACCAAAAAACATTAATTTATTCAGCAAATAATTATTGAGCACCTGCTGTGTGCCAAGAACTACGCCAGGCTTGGATATGTAGCATTAGCAGAGAGAGTTTTGGTCCTCTTGGTTTTTAAACTCCAGCAGGGAAGCAGATGTTAAATAAAAACTTCACAAACATGCAATTATAAATTGATATGAAGGAAAATTGAGAGTGCCAAGAGAGAACGTAGCATGGAGTTTAGATGGTGGAATTCCCTGATTGGCTTTCAGGAATGGTGTTGGCACCGGGCAGGGTGGGGTCGGGGACACAGAGATGGAGGTGCACACCCTGCTCTGAGCAGGACGGGAAGGATGCCTGAGGAGTTGCCGCGGGTGGGTGGGGGAGCAAGGTGAGGGGCTCGTCCAGCAACACAGAACAGGTGAACAGAGAGCGTGCTCCTGGGGGCTTAGGGGGAGAAAGCGCCTCTGGAAGGTGGGCCCCACATATTTAAGTTGTAGGGTAGGTCTCTTCAGAGTTCGTCTCCAACTTGAAATGTGGGCTGCAAGTGCCAGTGTGTTTGCAGAGAATTCTCTCTCGCAGTTACAGAGCGGCATGCCGCTTCTCAGATATTTTTGCACTGGTTACGGGAACTGTGCACAGTGGACCCCGTGGACCCCCACTAAGTGGAAGCCTTAAGAGGCCCTTGTGCGTGTCATTTTGGAAGACGTGTCATGCTGAGGCAGCAGGGCTTTTCACTCTGTATTAGCTTAGCATTCGTGGGGTTTTACAGATTGTATCTCGCCACCGAGATGTGTGCCAATACGCAGGCTGTCTGTTGATCCCGTAGGAGTGACTGGTTCTCTGTTAGGTTTATATGCAGCTCCCTGTAAAACCACTGCCCCAGGAATGTGCTCCTTCTAAAACCTGCTGACCCGAGAGCAGACGCTCGGGGATGAGTGGCCGTGTGGTCCCGGGACCTGTGTGCACAGCTGCCCTCTGCTGGGTTATGTCTCAAGCATCTCCTGGGTTGCTTTTTTGCCAACCGAGGCCGTGTCAGAGTGAGTGGCTTTGCAGGTGAAACTCCTTCCCGGGGGCCACCAGAGTCCCTGTGTAACTGCTGGGGCACATTAAGTGGCACCTGCTCCAATTAACCTGCCGTCGTAGAGCTGCATGAGTCATCGTGTTAAACATGCATTTTGAAGCCAGAATGGCAAACCCACCACCGGCGTGTTCAGATTAATAGTCTGTATCTCTTTTCTTTCCTCCCAAGAGTCATTTAGGGAACGTGTTAGTGGATATGAAGCTCATTGACATCAAGGACACGCTGCCTGTGGGCTTCATCCCCATTCAGGAGACGGTGGACACACGTGAGTCGCCCTTTAGTACCACTCGTCACAATGAGAGTTTTCTTCCTCCAGGAATATTTTTAGGTATCTCTATGTGCATTTTTCTTCAGAAACATTTTAAGAGGCCTCACTGCATGCCCGTGAATAAACCCTGCTGCTTTTGACATGTGTCTGACTTGGTTCTCTAAGGAGTTTGCAGCCTTCCGGGGAGCGGCACGTAAATGAACAGTGTCCTTTCCTCTTAGAGTGGTGCTCCCTGCTGAGTCGGCTGGCTCAGAGGGGAGCACTCAGACTGGTCATAGTTTGTCCTCAGCCTCCTCTGGTGTTGCTGAAGGCAAGCTTGGCACAAGACCCAGAAGCAAAGGGAAAAAAAAATCAAAAGACACCCAGGGAACACAGGTGCAATAATGTCGCCATTTTTGGCTCTTGGAGCACATGAGAAAAGTCAAAACCACAAAGACTGCAAGTTAGAGTACCCAGGATTTGAAACTGAGGTGGGGGTGCTCTGACCATCGAGCAACACCGGGCAGAGCTGAACGGCTGACACATCGGAAGGTTCTTCAGGACCCCGGGGTGCTTAATCACTTATCAAACAGTGCTGGCAGCCCTCTGGGCCGCCGAGCCGCCTCATTCTGATGCAGTATAACTTAACTTGTTTTATTTTAGATTACTTATTACCAGTATTAGGATATCCACAACAGTGATGCAGTAAATAAAAAACATACAGGGAATACCTTTCTTTATGACACATGATTCATTTACAAAAGTCCACATCTCATTTTTTGTCACATATACTTTCTTTTTCCATAGTTAGCCCCATTTTTGGACCTAATTTTTTTTTTTTGCTGTTTTCTTGCCAGCATTTCCTATAGACCAGACTTTCCATAGCTACACAGACCTCACATAACTTATTTTAATGAAACAAGTGGATTCCATCGTGTGGCATATTTCTCTTAATTCTCTCCTCACTTTTCGACATTCATTGTCTGTTATTATATGTATCAGCTAAGAATCGTGAGAGTTGATACTTAGCATGTATTTACTGTGTGCTAGCCCCTGTGATAAAGCTTTATAGACCTGATCTCATTTAATCTGCAGAAGAACCCTATTTGGAGATGGGTGTTTTATACCCATTTCCCGTATGAGAAAAACGAGGCACAGTAACTACTTAGGGACTAAAGAGCTTGTCCAAGGTCACACATCTGGAAGCAGGGGAATAACTGGAGTATCCATACACAAGTCTAACTCCCACACTTTTAACCACAGTGCCGCTCTGCAAAAGCATATGTTTAAGCACCTTTTAAGAATAGATTTTATATGTTTATGTGTTGGAGTTTTTTGGTAATAGCTTTATTGAAGTATAATTACCATAACATATAATTTATCCATTTAAAGTTACAATTAAGTGATTTTTTTTTCAGTGTGTTCACAAAGCTGTGCAACCATTACCACAATCAATTTTAGAACATTTTATCACTCCAAAAGAAACCATGTACCCGTTAGCAATCACTCACTGCAGGCATTCCATTTCTCCCCAGTCCTCACCTCCCTAACCCCTACCAGCCCTAGGCCACCACTAATCTATGTTTTGTATAGATTTACCTATTCTGGCAATATAATCATATAAATGAAATAATGTAATCTGTAGTCTTTTGTGTCTGGCTTCTTTCACTTAGCATAATGTTTTCAAGGTAGGTCCATATGAGGTAGGTAGCATGTCAGCACTGCATTCCCTTTTCATTGCCAGGTAATATTCCATTACGTGGGTATACCATTTTGCTTATCCATCCAATTGATGGATATTTGTTCCACTTTGGGCTATTATGAATAATGCTGCTCTGAACACTGATGTACAAGTTTTTGTGTGGACATATGTTTTCATTGCTCTTGAGCATATACCTCAGTGTAGAATTGCTGAGGCATATGGTAACTTTTTTAACTTTCTGAATAACTGCCAAAGTGTTTTCCAAGGGAGCTGTACCCTTTTACCTTCTGACCAGCTGTGTTTGAGGGTTCCAGTTTCTCCACATCTTCACCAACACTTGTTACTGTCATTCTTTTTGATTCTGACTATCTTAGTGGGTATGATGTGTTCTCTCTCTGTGGTTTTGATTTGCATTTCTCTTATGGCTCATTATGTTAAACATGTTTTCATATGCTTGTTAGTCATTTGTATACTTTCTCTAGAGAAATGGCTGTTTTAATTCTTGGCCCATTTAAAATTAAGTTGTCTTTTTATGATTGAGTTGTAAGAATGTTTTAGTATATTCTGATTATAAGTCCTTTATCAGTTGTATGCCTTGTAAAAATTTTCTCCCATTCTGTCAATTTCCACTTAATTCCCTTTTTTCTTTTTTTTTAAATTGAGGTGGAGCTGATACGCATTCATTTCATTTTCTTGATGCTGTCCTTTGAAACACAAAGTTTTTTGGATTTGATGGAATCCCATTTATCTCTTTTTTCCTTTGTTGCTTAGTTTTTTGGTGTCATACCTAAGAAACCGTTGCCAAATCCAAGGTCACCAAGACTTATGCCTGTGTTTTCTTCCAAGAGTTTTATCATTTTAGCCCTTACATTTATGTCTTTGATCCATTTTGAGTTAATGTTTGTGTGAGATACAGCTTCAAATGTATTCTTTTGAATATGAATATCCAGTTGTCCCACCACCATTTGTCTAAAAGACTATTCTTTCCCTCATCGAGTTGTCTCAGCTTCCTTGTTGAAAATCAATTGAGCATAAACATGAAGGTTTGTTTCTGAACTCCAACTTCTCTTCCATTGACCTATATATCTTTCTTATTGCTAAAACCATACAGTCTTGATTACTGTAACTTTGTAGCAAGTTTTGAATCCAGGAAGTATGATGAGTCTTCCAGCTTTGTTCTTTTTTAAGATGATTTTGGCTATTCTGGGTCCCTCAAATTTCCATAAGAATTCTAGGATAAGTCCACTTCTGCAAAGAAGCCAGCTAGCATTTTGATAGGTACAGCGTTGAATCTATAGATCAGTTTGGGTATGTGTAGATTTTGAATGATTTCCTTGTGATAAGTTTCCAGGTGCTTGAGGCTGCTGGGTCATGGGTCCTCTACAGTCTGCCCACCACCTTCCTCTACAAACATATCCCTCATCTTCAAGGACGCTGTGTTCTATGCAAACCGAGCTACTCACTATGCCCTCTCCGTGCTCGTTTTTTTCTGACTCTACACATTTGCTTTGTTGTTTTCCGGGCCTGAAATGCCCTCTCCCTCAACTCTGAATGGCCACACCTCATATCTTTCAAGGGTGAGTTCAAGATCTCCAACTTCTTGAAAGTCTCTGATCCCTAGAGACCAGTTGGAAGCAAGCTCTCTCTCCTCTCCACAGTCAGCTATGGTGGATGCATATCTACTGTAGGCAGTGCAGGCTTTGAGGTATAAAGGTGAACAAGATAGTGACCCTTGCCTCAAGGAACTTAGTATAGTGGGTGAACTGGACCTGAAGACAGGAAATTGCATTACAGTATACTCTGACAGGGCTATGTAATCAGTTGGAGGTCAGGGCCCCTTGTCTTTACTGCTTTCCGGCCACTAGTACAGCACTCATTTGTTGACGGGAGGCAGGAAAGTAAGCAAATGCAAGTGACAGTGGTGGGAAGCCAAAGAAAGTGGTTGATTCTGCTTCTGAATTCCCGTCTTTACCTGTTGGGACAAACTGCACCTGGCATAGTGGGAAGAACTTAGGCTCTGGAGTCAAACTCTTTATTGAGTCTAGCTCTGCCACTTACAAATGAGGGGCCCTGGGCAAATGACCCTCCTGGGCCTCAGTTTCCTCATCTGTAAAATGGGGGGATATTAGCCACCTCATAATGTTGCTTTTAGCTTGCATTATAGCCATTTACAAGTTTTCTTCATGTCTTTGCTACTTATCTCTTTCCTTGAGGGCAAGATCCATGTTTAATTCATCTTTGAATTGTCCAAGGTGTCCACCACACACAGTGCCTTGCTCAGAGGTTGGGCTCAATAAAAATAAGCTTTATTACTCTCTGTTGCCAAATTAACTTCCAGAAATACCAATTCATGTTGCCACTGATGATACTGGCTTGTACCTGTCTCCCACAGGCCTGCCAGCATAGGCTTTAAATTTTTTATTTAGTTTTACTGTTCTAATTTTATTTAATTTTCACTTATTATTTATTAGCGAGACTGAACATTTTCACAAGTGTTTACTTGCTACCTTTGCTTGTTCTTACACAAATGTTCTGCTTAAGAGCTAAAATCGCCTTGTAGATTTGCATTAATTTCCTACTTTTCCTCTGTGTTTTTCTTAGTTTTAAAATGTGCATTGGTGTTCTTTTTTTGACAACTAACTGGCTTAAAATGTCTTCATACCATGTAGTATAGAGCCACAAGGGATTTCTCATTCGGCTTCCGCTCAATTTGTTAAATCTGTTAAGCAAGGAGGCCTAGGGCTGAGTCCTTTCTGGGTCCTGTGATCCAGCTGCCGGGGGGCCCCAGTGATCCTGGGTGGGAGGCCTCTCCCCCGTGACTGGGAGGTTGTCGGTTGCGGCCCCATGGACATTCTGAGGTCGGGTTCTGGCATCTCCAACAGGTGTCTTATCACACAAGGAGGGTGGGTTTGGGGTTGCCCATTCATGTAGGGTCATACAGTCATTCCTGCAGTCTTTACCCAGGCTGGCCAGATGAACCTATGGTCAGCTCTGTGACGTTTAAGAGCATTTACAGCCCTGGTTTTATAAAACCAGCCAGAAAGATGAGAGGCTTGTAATTAATTTAAAATATGGTTTGTTGCAATCCATATAGCACTTAAACACTGGAAGACTGTTTGTTTTAGTAAAGTGCTGTGTCCTTTCTCTGTGTTCATAAGCATGACTGAGCACATTTCTATTGACTGTATAGTATGTTTACTTAAAACTAGGCCTGTTTAAGCGTGTTTAATTAGAGGCTCCATCTCTTACCCCGAGTTTGCTGTAGATGGAGGAATGGAGCAAAGAGCAGCTGGCAAAGCAAGTACATAACGTACCTGCATTTTTGTTTACTTTGAGGAGAGAGCTCACCTACTTCACACTGTCAAAAGCCTGATCTTCTCAGCGAATAGTTTTTGAAGCTGGAGGGTTGCTGTGGTTGGTTTTTCCCAGGGTACCATCCTGCTTTGATGGACACACTGTTTGGATCAGCGTGGTTACTCACAGCTGGTAGATCTGATCTAGCCCGGATTCCTCGCCTAGGAAAAGAACCCACAAAGGTTCTAAATTTCCACCTGGGTCTTTAAAAAAGCAAGCCCTCCCCGCAAAATATCAGCACCTGACTCTGATCTCCCCTTGGTGAAAGTCAAGTCCAGCAGCAGGACTCACTTCTCCCTGATTTAAATGTGCTTATTTCTGCCACAGAACTGGAAGGTCTTGAAAATCAATGCCAAACACTGACACAGGTTTTGTGCTTACTTATAATGATGATAGGAACATCCACAGCTGTTCTTTATTGAGAACCTACTGTGTGCCTGGTGCTGGGCTAAGTGAAGCATGTGTGTTATCACACGTCAGCTTCCTCAGTGTCCCTGTGGGTAGGGTTTCGTTAACTCCCTTTTACAGATACTGAATCCAGGGCTCGGAGAAATTAAGTCAGTGGTCTACAGTTATGGTGCCAGAAAATGGTGGAGCTGAAATTTCAACCCAGATCTGACTCAGGTATTGGGTGGCTGCAGTTGATTGAGACTCGTGTTTAAAAACCACAAATGAACAAACAAAAAACACATGGTTGGTCACCATTGGTGGTTGCTAGGGCTCCAACTCATTACTCTGACTTGATAAATAGAAGAATTGCATCTGTCCTTCCCTGTAGCAGTGCATGTTTCAAGGAGACCAAGTCTTTGAAGAATCAGTTATTTTTTTACATAGAAAAATTCCAGCTAATAAATGCAGAAGGAATGATGGAATTAGAAAATCACTGTTTTGACACCTTTAATGAAATTATGGATCTAGGGAACAGTCATCAGGGGATGAGAAAACCACTCAGAGCATGGTTGTTGGGGACATTATAACCAAAGTACCAGCTTGACAGCAGCAGAACCCACTGAGGGCAGCACAGCTGGCCTCCAGGCCTCGTGATGTGATTCCATGTGATGAACACGCACCACCTGTGAAGTGTTCCTTTCCAAACAGTGTAACCTGCGTATCATGGAGCCTTTCACTCTGCCAGGTTACAGGAAGTACAGGGGACTGCCCCGGTTCTTCAACCTATCAGTGCCCTGAAGGTAACGGGAAGGCAGAGAGGTTGTTACAGAACAAGAGACCAAATTCTGTGTGCAGACATCCAGACAAACCAACAGTTAAATTACATTGTTGAGGTAATGGAGAAAACCTGAATGTAGACTGTTGGATAAAATTAAGGAGCCGTTGCTCATTTTGTTAGGAATGAGAGTGGCGTGGTGGTAACGTTAGGAAAAATAGTCTGCCATGGATGCTTCCTGCGCTGCTGGCGGTGCTGGGGTCCCTGCGCGTCTCCAGCAAAGCCAAGGGGTGGGGAGGAGGTGAAAGCAGCTTGTCCGCGGGGAGGTGAAAGCAGTTGACAGCACTGAAACCAGATGATGGGAACATGTGAATTCATCTGACCGTTCTCTCTACTTTGGGGAATGTTTGAAAATTGCTATACGAAAAAGTAAAAAAGTAAAAAGTCTACAGAGTGAAATATTTTAACCCTCGGGGTGTCCGTGTGTCTGTATCTGATGGCTGGAGCCGTGAGCAGACTGAGGGGTGGCTTTCAGAAGCCGGGCCCTGGGTTTCTCCCAGGCGGCCTCTCCTTGAAGAGGTGCGTGTGCCCTGCGGGCCCCTTCTCGGCAGGGGACATGGGGGTCAGGCCCTGAAGGCAGGGCAGGGTGACAGGCCCACCGTGGGGTGTCTTGAGGGTGGAGCCTGGCCCTTCTGTTGGGCGACCAGGATAGCAGGTCACTTCCACTGCCGGGAAGGGGTTGTGACAGGAGACGTGGTGCTCAGAACAGAGCGGTTGGCCCCTCTAGAAGACTCATACCTTTTCTTGTCGTCCTTTCCTTCAGAGGAAGTGGCTTTTAGAAAGAAGAGGCTGTGCATTAAATTTATCCCACGGGATTCAACCGAAGCCGCCATCTGTGACATTCGGATCATGGGCCGGACCAAGCAGGCTCCTCCCCAGTACACGTTCATTGGGTAAGTCTTAGTGACACCAGTCTCTGTCTTCTGTCTGCCAAGAGTGCTCCGGTGGCTCCCGGGGACCCAGTCCTGAGACCGGCTGTCTGTGTGACCACCGGGCTCCGGCCATGGCTCTCCTCGCTGCCCTCCTGCTGGTGGGGCGGACTCGCGGAGCACCCCCCTGACCTCTTGTGCTCCATCGAAAGGCCCTTCCTTCCCCCTCCTGCGTGTTCCTCCTTCAGGCTCTCTGGGCTTTTCCAGATGCCTGAAGCCAAGGTGCTCTCTCCCTCGGACCACAGGGCCTCCATGCTCCCCATCTTTACTCACCCCATTGCATTTTCTGGATGCCCGTTTCCTACCCCAGGGTCCAGGCCCCTGGAAGCAGTGGTGAGTGAGGCTGAGAGCTTGCCTCCCGTGGAGTTGGTGTTCGGAAAGGGAGAGACCAGCATCAAACCAGAAACAATGAGCGAGACCATTTCAGTTAGTGAAGAAAGTGAGGCAGAAAGGAATGGGGGCTCTTCAGCCTGGGGTCGGGAGGGTGACATGTGAGCACAGTCCTAAATGTAGGGAAGAACCCAGCCTTGCAGGGATCTGGAGGCAGAGGGGAGGGGCCAGCCTCCCAGTGGGGATGGCGGGATGGGTCTGGGGCTGAGAGCAGCCAGGTGTGGCTGAGGTGGTGAGCCAGAAGGAGTAGGAGGTGGGGCAGTGCTCAGTGGGACCTCGTGAAACATGGTGGAGGTTTGGCTCTTAGTCCAATCATGCCGGAAAACCACTGGAGGGTTCTCAGTGGAAAAGAAAGGTGAATATTACATGATCACAGGGTATTTCCGTGTGCAGTTTTTTGGTCCGATGTTCCTCTTCCCTGATAAGCAGGGAACTGCTGAGGGCTTGGCCCACTGTGCCCTTGACCTGGTAGCCTCAGCACCGGGCACGGGCCTGGTATTCATGAATACTGAGTACAAGGAACCTCGGGATTTCATTTGGACTCTTGATTGTAAGTGACAGGAAATCTAAGCCAGGCTGGATTAAACAGAAGAAAGAATTTGTTGGCTGACATAACAGTAGAGTTTGTGGGGCAGGATGGCATCAGGGGTGGCTGGAAGTGGCTGCTCAGAGGGTGTCACTAGGATCTGGTTTCCCCTCTCCTCCTTGCTCTGATTCCTCGGTGGGTTGGGGAGACACCATTCCAAGACGTGTTCTCCCCTGGTTCAGGAGTTGTGGTGCGCGAGCTTTACCTACTTCTCCTCCAGGTTCAAGTCCCGAGGCAAAGATCAAACCTGTGTTCTCCACAGTAGGAGTCGTCCTTACTGGTCTTGGTTGATATCACCAGGGTCATGTGCACCCTGAGCCCATCGCTACACCTGGAAAATGTCCTTCTCTGATTGACCAGGCCTGAGCTGAAAGTGCAGTCAGCTCCACTGGAACTCAGGGACCAGGAATGAGGGGTGGCTGCCCCCCTAAATACAGAAGGCAGGTAGAGTCAGAATAGGGGGTGAATGGATGCTGGATGTTCAAAAGATAATAGATGTTCATTATACTCAGTCAACTAAAATTCGGGTCTCTCAAGTTAATAATGTGGTAGTTTCCAGCCCCCCGGCCATGTGCTGTCTCCCTGGCCAGCTTTGTAAGAAGCATCTCGCTTGTCCCTGCAGGTCCCCACAGATGCGTTTTCCTTCTTGACTTTTGAGGTTGGCCTCTTGGATCTGGGCTGGGCTGGGCTTTGTTTTGCCTATTGCACATTTGAACCCAGACGGTCCCCTTTACTCTAAAAGCCACGGCCTTTTCTCAGAGGCTGCACGTGGGCTGGGCATAGACGGAGCTGCGGGGTTTGTGTGAAGCATGTGGGGAGCGGGCGTCACAGGAATAGACATCTTCATCTTGGCACAGTGGCTTGTTTGGACTTTTCAGCTGTGGAGTCTGAATGCTCTGTCTTGAGATTTTGTGGTCCTTAAGGAGGACTGTGTGATCACCCCCTTTCTATACACTGAAAAATCCCGTTTTACAACACGGTTTAAATTCATTAAATAAAAAGGATAACAGGAGTAGGAAATAGTTAAGAAAATAACCATACTTCAGGTACCTTAGAAACAGCCACTTACATACAAATAGTAGAAATCAACAATTTAGTAATGAACTTTTAAGGTCTAATTTCAGTTACTACGTATATTATGTGTTTTCAGTTACTGTGTGTCTTCAGTTTTTGTAAATTACAAACCATACTACTGTAGAAGATTCAATTTTTAACCAATTTAAACAATTCTAAAGAATAGATTCTTACCGTATATGTCTTGATAATCAAAACTAGACTTTTATATCATTTCGAAAAGATTGCTAAATAAAATGTATTTTTGTTTCATCTTGGGACAAAAATTATTTTCTAGAAGAAGGCAATTCCAGTGTTATCTTTAAGGAAAGAGAATTCAGTGTTCAGAACTTCGTCACTTTTTCCCAAAGTGGGCACAGTTCAACACGTTACTTTGCAAAAGTTTGGGGTTTGTTGGCTGGGGAGACGGAAACCTCAGGCTGGGAGTGGCTCCTCTGAGGCCTGACCGTGGCCGTGACCAAGAGGTGGAGAAATGAGTGCAGCTGATTGGAGTCAGCCGCCTAATAAGACATGACTGTGGTTTAGGATAGTTCCTGTGGGGTGCTCAGAAGCTCCTAGAAGTATCCCCTGGATAAATCTTTTCTCAGTTTTTGGAGAAATGCTCTCCCTTTACACCCCAGCATGCAGTTCTGTGGGCCAGTTGAGTAGTTAGAAGTTGGTTGTGGCTAAAATAATCCCATTGCCGTTCCTGAGGGCACACCTGTCTCATAAATGCCCGTGACTGAGTGGCGTGGGGTCGGGCTGCGGTGGGCATGCAGGTCAAGGAGCAGGAACCCTGACGTGGTGTGTGCCAGGCTCTTTCGTCACCACCCTGAGTCATGGTGGCTCATGGGGCACGTGCCTCGGGCTTTATGGTGTGAAGATGTCTCCCAGACTAACCCTGAGAACGCGGCCAACTGTAGGTGACGCCCGGGCAGTAGGGCGCTTTCTCCTGGGCCTGGGGCCTGGCGTGGAGCGGGGCGGGGCTCGTTCTCCTCGTAGTTAGAAACCGGGAATACGGGTCAGCCATTGCTCACCTGTCTCACCCTGACCCTACAAAGTGGATTGTCACAGAAACATCCACAATGAAACGGCAAGATAAGAATTTTGCAGACTGAGAACCAAGGAAAATGTTGATAGCACGTAGTCGGAAAGCCATTGGGGTCGATGAGGAAGACGGCGTGCCGAGCTGGGACGTTGCCCTCACGTGAGGCGCTAAACCGCGACACTCAGAGCACAAATGGAGGTGATGTAACCACCTTCATGGGCGAGAATCAATTCCCTGGTATTTGAGGCTATGATTCTCCTCGGTGAGTTGGTATGCTTTGTTGCTCAGGTAATTTTACGCTGAAGGTGCCATGAAGATTTCTCTTTTCTTCCAAAGGGAACTGAACAGCATGGGGATCTGGTATCGAATGGGCAGAGTACCAAGAAATCATGACTCATCTCAACCCACTACGCCTTCCCAGTCATCAGCTGCTTCCACCCCGGCCCCCAACCTTCCCAGGTGAGGCCCTATCAGCGGCATCTCGTGCTGTCATGCATGTGATAGTCATGTGCTCTTGGGTCCCACTGCGTAACATTTTAGGACGCCTCCACTTAGTATCTGCTGAGACATTACAGAAGCAATATACCTTTAGAGGAGATTTTGCAAAACCAATTAGAAATCTTTACGTTACACAAATGTGAAGGCCATTCTGTATTCTATTGTACATATTCTGCAGGCGTCTAAAACAATAGAATGTGCAATTTAGAATTAGTTTGCTCTTCTAAAGAGCTCATAGCTGCACACAGACCCCTGATTTGTAGCCATGCGGCTGGGAACGCTGGCCGTAAAAGGTGGGGTTCCTTCTCTGCCTTGGCTAGCAACTTATTTAACCCCAGGAGGCTTGGTACGTAATTTTGTTTGTTTTCATACTGTTTCTTTTCCCAGTGAGCAGCAAACTAAGAAATGGGTCGTTTGGGTATGAGAGTATAGTGAGAAGTTTTTCTGTGGTGAGGGGGTTGTTGGTTTTAATAGTTGTTTCCACAAAGAAACTTGGGTGACCAACCTGGTCTCTGCACCTGATTTTACCTGATTTTAGCCGCAGCAGAGGTCGTCGTGATCTCAAGCCCGTCTGCAAAAGCAGAAGGCATAGGGAACCCTGGCAGACCAAAATCCTCTGCGTCATTAGCGGTTAAGTTATTTGAGGACAAGGAGCAAACAGCAACGATAGATTAAGTTTGAGAAAGGGATTACGCAAGTAAATAAAACAGGTAAGAATTGGTGAGACGGAGATGGACGTAATGTCAGTGAGACTGGATCTCAAAGCTTCCACGTGGGCGAAGAGAGATGAACAAAACCTGTCAGGAACAGGACAAAACTGTTAGAGGGGAAGGGGGATCCTCCGCAGGCCCCACAGTCACACGCTGCCCCCCGGGAGTGCAGAGAAGTGGGTGTGTAGCCCGGACCTCTGGCCCTGGTCCTCCCATGGAGCTTCCCTCCCTCAAAAGAACGCCGTTGTCACAGGCAGCTCAGGGGACTGTCCTTCGGGACACCCTCCGCAAAGACAATCTAGTCTTTCTCTTGCAGTTTCACAAACCAAGTACTGAAACTTAATTACCTCTGGCGTCGCCTGAAGCTTGAGTAGTGGTTTTCAGTTTCACTTTGGTGTGCAGAGCTGTGACTAGCTAGCGGGCTTCCCAGAGCTGTGGGTTGAGCAGGGGAGTGTCTTTGGTTTAGGAACACGAGGCTCCCGCAGCTTAGTTCAGCAGTTGCAAATTCCTGCCTAGATGCCCAGAGTCCTCGCTGCGATTACCTTCACCTGTGCTCGGGGCCCTGGAGAGGTTACAGCTGCTCCCTGTTGACGTCACGTGGTCTGGAAGGGCCTAGAAATAGGCGCCGCCTCAGAGCAGGTTTTAACTTTCCATGAGCACAGATTCTCCTGGTTAAAGCAGGAAGAGTGATCTTCCCCAGAAGCTTGTTGATCAGCTTGAGAACACAGTCACCAGCAGCAGAAGCAGGGGACCCGAGAACACAGGAGCTGGAGGCAGTGCCTCAGAACAAGGCTTCTAAGGCTTGTGTGTTTTGTAACCTCTTGTTGTACCGTTTATGGTTTATAATGGCTGCAAGGAAATTGGATCAGTTTTGTTTTACTTGCCGTATAAAACAAATGTCAAAATAGTCAATATAAAATGTATTCTAATTTGACTGAGTTAAGCCAGTATGCAGTGGAATAATGGAATGTTACATTAATGCTTCCCAGTAAAAACCACTTGTCTCTCCCAAGCTCTCCTCTCTCACTGTGTGGTAATTTACAGGTGGCATGCACACTTCTGTGAGCCTCCTGGTTCATCAGGGATTTTTTTGTGTGTGTTCTTCAATTTTTGTATTGTTTTCCTATCTGGTGTCTTCATTTAAAAAAATGATTATTCAGATTTTCCATTGAAGATTTATGAAATGATGAGTATGTTACTTTATTCCATGAGGCTTCGGATCTCTGGAATCTGTCTGGCAGAGGAGCCTGACACCTTGCTCTCTGGTGGAGCTGTGGGTGCTGCTTGTGTTCCCGCTGTGGGGGTCTGCAGTGGGCCTGTAGGGTGGAGGTCTCCACGTCTGGCTCCCAGGGCTTGCAGTCTTTTCCATCCCCAAGCCTCAAACTTTGAACCTGTAGCTTCCTCTTCCCTTCCTGTTTTGTGCTTCTGTGCCTTTGCTCATGTGGACACCTGTGCATCGGGTATGTCTTGCATCCTCGACCTTAGATGTCAACTCAAATGCCGCCTCTCCCAGGAAGCCTTCCCTGAATGCCTTGTGCCTGTGCCAGGCTCTTCCCTCAGAGCACTTCTCAGCCATTATGCCTTCACTTTGTGATCATGTTGTAAACTCCTTGAAGGCAGGGATTGTGTCCAGGGCCTGTTATCTCCCAGAGCTCAGCCCAGGTACAGGCATGTATTCAGTTTTGCAATAAATGCTTCTCCAGTGGCCTAGGACCCTATGCTGCAGCCTCCCCACCCCTAGACGACTCCCAAGTCCCTAAGTATGCCTCAGGTTTTTCGGATTATGAGAGGAATTGTAGCTTATAGAAAACTGAGAGTATAGAAAATAATGAAAAAAACAAATTCCATCTCCAGTGAGCAAAGGCTCATAACCTTTGGCTGTATTTCCTTCAAGTCATTTTTCTGTGTACTTCTTACATAGATGATATCATCATAAAATAGCAAGTTTGTGTTTTGCTGCTTCTTTCTCTTGTAATGTTGAACCAGAATCGTAATATTCAACTGTGGTCTTTGTGTGGACCCAGGGATCAAGTTGCAAAGCCAAGGCTGGAGTGAGAGCGTGGTGATGCAGCGCCCTCTACTGACCAAAGTTGGAGGAGGCTGGGGGGACCTGCGGGCAGGTTCCTGAGCCAGGGGCAGCGGGACAGGCCCTTTTCCCCCACACCGCCCCTGCAAATCCCTGTGGGGAGTGAAGGGAGCCAGGGAGGGCCGGTAGCAGACCTTGTTGCCTTCTTAAGCCAGAGCTTGTGTCTCAAAAGCTAAAAACGTGTGCTCCGCCTCCCTTTTTTCTGCTGTCACTCATATTTCAAAGAATTTCCTGCTGTTTTTTGGCGAGCTTTCATCCCCAGTTTATTTCAGACAAAGGGGGCCAGTTGGGGCTTTTCAGAGACACTGGGTCATCACCTGAGGGCCTCGTGGTCCTAGCAGATCGGCCTTCCTTGGAACGAGCACTTCCTGCCTGTTTCCTCCCTGTTGTTGCAGAGTGCTGGTCTCAGATGATAGGAGTTGTCCTTTCAGGATGGGCAGCCCCCCTGAAGAGACGGACGCCCCTTGGCTGTATCCAGTGAATTGGACACAGTGTTTGAAGTTCGTGGCAAAAGGCAGGATAAGAGGTGTTTGCAGAGCTCCTCTTCCTCATCCAGCAAACCTTTATCTCCCACACATGCATCTCTACCCTCATTTCTTGACAGTTTCCAAGTGAGGAAGGGCATGCCACTTCATCTGGTGAAGTGGAGCCTCTGTTTCCTCTCTGGGCAGCAGTGCTGCTCCATCCTCTGCCCATCCACCTCACACACACTGGTCAGCAGGATGGGTCTGGCCTTGGCCTCAGGCACGCTCCCACATCCCCACTTCTCTCCCAGGCTGGCCTCAGCTTTGCAAGTCAGCCTGGGGTGGAACAGCAAATGTTAGGGTCCCGGAATCTGGGCTTTTCTGATTCTCTTCTGCACTGTTGCCTTCGGGCAGGTGCAGTTAGAGGAAGCACCTTCTCACTTCAGCCAGAGCCCCCACTTCTCTCTCACGACACTGGCTCTCACATGTGATTCTACTGGAAAGAGAAGGTTCTGCTGAGGCTGGTACCAAGGTTTGGAAAAGCTCAGGGAGGCAGGTGGATTTGCAATTGATGGAGCACCGGTAGCTCCAGAATGTGGATGAATGCACAGTTTTGTGCCCTCCCAGGAGGGGCCCTGGTAGACTGTTGCCCCCCGGCTTGCTGAACAGTAGAACCAGTGGCTTGATAAAGACATCAGAGGCATGCTTATCAAATTTGCAGATGACACAGAATCATTAGGGAGAGCTGATGTGCTGAATGACAGAATCAATACTCTGCATCTTCTCTGCAGCCAGAACACCCTGCTGCAACCGGGAGATGAAAGGTGATAGGTGAAAACGGACAGGGCCCCTGAGGTTCAAAAAATCAATTGCACGGGAACAAAATTGAGGAGACCGGGCTTAGTGGCGGTCTGTGGGAGATGATGGGGCTGGGCACGAGCTTGAGTGGCTGCAATACAGCCCGGTGTGCATGGTGAGGCACGTTCTGCACCGGTCAGGTCCGTCAGGAGGGGCACGCCCACTGCCATCCACCACCCTGTAAAAGTTACTTGAATCAAGAATTGAACTTGAGTGTGAGGAATCACCGAGTTTTGATCTGAATAGAGATGCAGCCTCTGGCTTCGGGTGTCTAAATGGTCAACGTGTAGAAGGGAAAGAAGTGTTTCCAGGTGGAGATGGGGCGTTGGGAGCCCCTGAAGGCAAAATTCAATCAGGTAAACTAAAGTTACAGGGTGGTAGGTTTGGGCTTAACATTAAAAAAATTAATATGGAGAACTCCCCAAAGGTAAAAAACCTCATGGCATTGAATAAGCCAACTAAAGAGGTCATTTGCACCCAGCGGCTGGCAGTATTCAGACAGCATTTGGATTTGTCCAACCTTCAGTGGTTCTTCTTAAGCCTTTTTAAGAAATGTATCGGATTCCCTGACCCAAGCCTCAAAAGTCCAGACAGCAAGCCTGCACGTGAGGGCCGCAGTTGCCTTGCCACCGGTGACTTGGAGGAGCTGGAGCTGGGGTCGGGGACTGAGTGTGGAGGCCTGTGGAGTGGCTGCCGTGGCACCCTCCCCGGGTGGAGGCACTGAGGGCCCTCATCGGGCCGCCCCGTGTCTCCATCCCAGTGTTGGCGTGTGGGAGCTGCACTGCAGGTATTTTTGTCCCTTTCAGAGTCCAGCTGAAATAAATCGCCTGGCCTCCAGAGTGT